GCAACTGAAATGAATAAATGTGTCAAGATATACAAATAGCACAGCTCAGTAGTAATAAAAGTAGACATACAATACTGAGTAGTATGTCTAGTAGCAAATGCTAGGAAATAATAAAATTTTTTAAAAATCCACTTCTGTATTTGGTAGTAAAAAAAATGTCTGTTTTTCATCGAGTTGTCCCAGGCTGGGTAGTGATCTCTTTGTACCAAGAAGCAATAGGCCATTGGGAAAATTGTTCTGACTTGAAGCAAAATTCAGCAGTTTATTGATCAAGCTGACACCGTCTTTTGCATAGCTGTGCAGGAAACAGGTGACAGCACAAAAAAAAAATGATCCACTCTTTGGCCAGCAGATCATCAGCGTGTTCACATCTCACTTCAGGAGAAATGTAGCCACCTCTGCATTCATTCTGTGCTGCCACGGCTTGGGACTAAAGCCACGGTTTAGTTTTGTGGCCAGACCTGTGACAATGGTCCTATTGAAACCACTGTGACTCTGCTCTTGGTGCATACAAAATGAGAAAAATCCAACCTGGCTAGGCAGTGCAACTGGAGGGGAGAAAAATGTTACGACAAAGGATAGTGAAGAACTGGCACAGGTTGCCCAGAGATGTGCTGGATGTCCCATGCCTGGAGACATCCAAGGTCAGTCTAGATGGGGCTCTGAGCACCTGACTGAGCTGTCAGTGTCCCTGTTCATTGCAGGGGAGTTGGACTAGATGGCCTTTAAGAATCCATTCCAACTCAAAAAATTATATGGCTCTATGATACTATAATAAGTAATACCAAATGTATTGCAGCCTTGGAAAGAAAAGACACAGACATTCAGGACTCATGTGTTGCTGGGCAGTAGATCTTAGAGAAACAGCCCATTTAAGGTCTCAAAAATTTTGCAGTAGCTGCAAGAAAAAAGCTGATGTCCCTGCATATTTTTGAAATTCAAGCTGCACCTGTCACTGAAGTGGGTGGCATGCAACGAAAAGTGGTGGAGCCTAATGCTTTCCTCTCCTGCTTCCCAGGGGTGGGCAGGATGGAAAAGGACACCCCCCAGGTCAACCGCATCTTGTGGTTGGCTCCTGGTCTCTTCTGCATCCTCTTGTTTTCTTTTGCAAGCCAGGAACACATGTGAGTCTATCTCCACCTGGGCTGTGTGTTCAAGTGCAGAAGAGCAGATGACCCCTGGTCTGCAAAGTGCCGGTCAATATGTTTAGTAGGAATGTCATTATCATATTCCAGAAAGGAAGAATGCCTTTCAGTTTAAAGCAATGAAGTATTTAAATTGTGCCTTAATAGTCATAAAGCAGTGATTTATGCTGCTTTTTTATCTAATGACGCAACACACCCAGGAACCTTACCCCTGAATCACAGAGGAACAAACTTCAAGTGATTTTTCTGTCATCAGTATTGCACCATTCTTTGTCAGGAAAGATCAGCATTTTGGAGAAGAAGTAACAGAAACCACAAAGTCCTCATCCAGTGGCCTTTATGTGGCCTGCCACCACAAGAATTCCTCCTTCTTCCTGCCTTGGCAAAGAAAACAGGGCAGGCCATCATCGTCCTCTCAGGCTTTGGGCAGACCCGGCGTGAGGATATGGATCCTCCAGGATTGTGGGCACATGTATGACAACCCCAGAAGGATGCCCTGCATCCCCAGCAGCATGAAATGGAGTGAAGCTACAGCTGGAAATCCTCCTGACTTATAGCACAATAACCACCACTGTGTCTTTAACAAGAGCAACTCAAAATCCAACTACTGGCAATTGTTCTCCAGCACATTGGTAAACAAGCTCACAAGTTAATTGCCTTGTGGGCAGCAGGGAACTGAAGGCCTGATGCTGGAGGCTATTTAGAGATCTCAGACTATGCTATCAGCTGCTGAGCTAGCGCATGTTGCTAAATCTGAGCCGGCAGTGCAATTGCAGTAATTCCCAGAACAGTTTACCCAACGCTTATTCCAATAATAAGGCATAAGGAGGGGGCTGTTGGGGATAGGAAAACCAAAACTGCTCCTTCTGTATTTCATAGGATAGGCAGAATAGGCCACTAATTATCTCATCTGCAATCCTGCTTTACTGTAGGCCATTCAGACTCTTGTGCTTAGAACAACGGACTGAACATTCTATTTAGTGTGAGCTTGTATAAACAATAGCCAGTTTTGATTAGCAGGCCTGAAAGATACTCTTGGATGTCTTCTTTGACAACCAGACCCTTCAGTGCACCTTTGTTCTCATAAGATCCACTTCATGTTACATCAAATTTAACCAGTCCAGGAGCATACTTTGATGCTTTCCTCCCCTTTTTTTTTTTTTATATGCCCAGCATACACTACAGCAATACTGTTAAAGTGAAGGTTAGTTTGATACTGTTTTCTTCTTTCTCCAAGCAGCAAGTAATGGAGTGACAGATGTTGCAGTCACCAACCAAAATCTTGGGCTGTGATTAGCTATTATTAGCATGTCGATAATCTCCAAGGGATCCAAGGGATTAAGTGGTCACCTAAGCAAGGCTTCAAGTGTCACCTATGTCTCACAGGGACATAAACTAATCTCTTTTGTTGGAAACAGATGAAGTGATAAGTGTTTCAAAGCCATTCTAATTTACAGAAAATGCTGCAGTTCATTCTTTCTTAAGTCACCATTTAGGAGCAGAAAAGAACAATTCTGAGCTCAGATTTTATTTCAAGGAGGGTTGTTTGAAAAGCTGGTGGGCACCTAACCTCTCACAAAGCAGCTAGTGAAATTGACAAGGTTTGTCGAGCATTTATAGACTTCTGTTAATGTTCTTCCCACTCCTAAATGCAGCAACTTTTTCTGAACAAGAAGCGAAGGCAAGGAGTGTGTCCTAGGGCTGTACAGGCTGCAGGTAAGCTGTGTGTCCTAGGGCTGTGGACAAGGCTGCAGGTAAGCTGCTGTGTCTGAACTAACAGAGCTGGTTACTTTCACACACAGTGTTGGGGGCCCTGCTGATCCCTGAGGTACAGAACAAATGGTGAGCAGCTGAAGGGTTATTTTGGAAAATGGCTATTTGGCACCTTTCTAGAAAACAAAACCACCAAGTTTCCAGGCAGAAGGTGAAGTGCCCCATGCCTTGTTGGATCAGCTGGGCATGCATTACCTCCCTGCATCTTCATGTCTTCTTGTCACTGGAAGAACTGAGCCACCAACAGACAGGGAAGGAAGTGCTATTGCTCCTAACGGTGACCATCTCCAAATGCTCCACTGGCTATCCCCTTCCCATAGGTGCTGAGGATCAAAACCCTGTCCTGTCTGCTCTCTCGATGGTTCCTAAAGCATGAGCACACCTCTGAAATCTGCCCCAATCTCCACATGATATGCAACCCAGATGGATCCTGAACCAGGAGCAAGTTTCAGGTATGCAGTAACCCCAGGTGAACTTGCCCAAGATGTTGCTAAGACAGCAATTTTAGCACCTCCATGTTCTACTGCGCAGTTTGCCATGCAGTCTTCCCACCTCTCAGGCAGAAGACAATACCTTTATCACCATTTTGTGGGAAGGGCAATGCCTGTAAGTGTTGCAGGGCAGTCTCCAGCAGACATTTCAGTAGTGCCTACAGATATTTTATTGGCAGTTGCTGACATTACCTCTGTGTGACAGGGATCTAGTAAAGGCTTGGTACTGATGTTTAGAGTCATAAAAGGAATGTTCCACAGAGGGTATTTTTGAATGAGTTCCTACCCGCTCAAGGACTAGACTGTCTTTTTAGCCATGTTCTCCCACACTCTCACCCTGACCACAGTACTGGCTATGATTGGCTTGAAAGCCAATTTTTGTTTAATCCAAAGTCTTTTGTTTTAATGCCTGTGCTCAGCAAACCTCTGCTATTTTAGGAAGGCTGTGCCTGTGAAGGTTCTGCATGTGAAGCAAACACTAAAAGCCAATTTCATGCTGCTCAGTTGGAAGAGCAAGGTACACTCAGTCACTCCACCAGACTTGCAGATGCCAAGTATCCTTGTCTCCTTCTGAAATATAAATGGAAGTTGCACAAAGGTCAAACCAAAGTTTCCCCTGGCAGAAAGCTAGCTCTGTCTTTCCTACGTAATGGGCACCTCTGAAGAAGCTGCTTGGAAAGCAAGATAGTATACACCAAGATAGCCAGAGAGCTGGGTTGTATGCTTCTGTTGAGGAATTCCTGCGCAAGCAAATGATCACTGCAACAAGACCACACATCCAAAAGGCCTTACCCTTTTTGCCAGTGCCCAAACTGTTCAGCAGCACCTGGAGATTCAAGACTCCCTGGCCTTACTTGACAGAAACTGTGGTTATCCCTAGTGAGAGTGTCTGAGTCTTTCCAGCACCCATCAGCCCAATGGAAGAAGTCATCAACAGTGAGCCAACTCGTAAAGGAGTGGCTGAAATTTTCTACCACTATCCAGGTGACCGTAGTTGGAAAAAGTACACAGCCAGCCGGTACAGTTGGGAAAAACCTTTGATCACTTTAGAAAATTGAAAGAATGGCAGGTACTTTTTACTATCAACATTTTTGATATAAAGGCAAAATCTTTTTTTTTTTTTGTGCATATGTTTTTTTAGTAGAGGGTTTCATTTTAGCAGTCAATGCATAATATCTGTCTGCTCCTGGACGGATCATCCTCATTTGATAATGCAGATATTGGAAGGGCTAAAAATATAACTGCTCCAAACAAGTAATCAAATATGAACATGTGCCTGTGCAGATGAATATGTATGGTCCATGAGTTTGTGATTAATGCTCAGTGCTTATTCTCCTAACACGTGTAAGAAATAGGAAGATCTCAATGAGACAAAGGTGTGGTACAATCACATCAGCAAAGTTATTAGCTTTCTGGACAGCTTTTTCCATTATGTAAAAGCTGTGTTTGTATTAGAATAGCAGTCAGACACACCAGTGTGAGGATTACTGTTGGTTTTTATATAATGGATTATCCAGATTAAGCGTTTTATTCAGGCACATGAGCAAAAATAACCAATTAGTGACTTTGCAGATTCATTATTTAAAGGCAGCTGGAGGGCAATTGACACAAAACTCTCCTGCTGACTTCAGCCTGAAGACTGAAGCAGAGTAATCTCAGGGATCTTCAGCACCTCTACCCAACAGGTAGGTGTCTCTTCAGCAGAGGTGAGACCGATCAGCAGATCTTGCAGTAGGAAAGAGCAGCTTGCATGGCAGTAGCTGGGAACAGAGTAGCTGCTTGGGTGTCTGGAAGACCTGGGTTGATAGATGTTTGGATGTTGAAAGCAAGATACAAGCAGCTGTGGTGTTTTTTGGGGGGGCATCAGAGCAAATATTCAGGGTTGAGTACTATGTAAGAATGTATATGCAGTTGCTCTCTCTTCCCAAAGTGTGAGGAACGAACATACAGAGGTATGGGTGAGAATGGAATGCCCTGGGAAAGTAAAATAGCCATAGTCATCTGGTAGCTGTGATTGCAGATCATTTCTGGAGCTTGATCTGCAATGGCAGATCCAGCTCCAGCAATGAAGTATTATTTGTTATGTTTGTAAGGCGGATGTAAAGTTAAACAATCCTAAGATGTATTTTTCTAGGAGGAACCTGATTCACTGACAAGAACTGGTCATATTGAACACAGCTTTGCTGTTTTCAAAGTGATGGGCATACTCAGGAATAACGTCCTTCCACCCTACAATGCTATATCAGAATTCATCAGAACATTATTTTCTGCAGTGCTACTACTGTCAAGCAAAATTATCTTGCAAAGCAATTGCCAATGGAGCTCAGATTTGCTGGAATCAGGCTCCACATTGACCCACGTTTCTCAGTGCAATAAACAGTACAGTACTGGAGTGTTGAAGAAAACTAGCTTCAAAACTAGCTAAAATTAGGAGCTATATATATAGCATCTGTAGGCATAGCACTAGCTATCCACATTTAGTGCATGAAATAAAACTCTGCCCATTTGCTTTTGTCTTGCAGAATGAAATACGCACAATACCTTTTCCTGGCATCAATCCTCTCCACGGTTGAATATAGCCTAGCTCAGACCTGTGCAGTGGACTCTTTCTCTGTGAAAGACAATTTTGATCCAAAAAGGGTAATTACGGTTACTTCATCTTGGTAAACAGAGTATGTGTGAAGAAGCTTAGCTATGTGAACTCATTTTCCAACTTGGAGGTTGCTAAAAGGGCTCCTCACCAAGAAGTTAACTTCTTTCCCAACGCTGTCTCTCAAATGCTGCTTCTACAGTTTGCTTGCCTTGTTACTCCTTAACCTTCTGAGTGTTGTGGAAAAGCTGGCCCCAGAAGTCAGGGATGTCACACTATTAGCTGAAATTCAGCTCAGGCCTCAAACGAATTTAACCCAGCTAAATTCAGCTTTCCCCAGTGTTTCCATGGACAGTGTTAACTTCTGAGGACCTTTCTGCCTTTCACTGTCTCGCTTACACCTTTTTTTTTTATTTTACTAGATATTGCTTTTGCATTTCCAGGAACTCCATGTTTTTTTCTAAGAATTTTCCTCTTAGTCTCACTTCTCCCACACCACACCCTGCTGCTGGCCTGCCCCAGAACATCATTTCATCTCTGTATCATCTCCGGCTATGCAGGGTAGACTGTTGGCACTGTTAAGAGACCAGCTTTGGCCCCTGACAGCCACCAGAGTGACTCCTGACAGGTTGCTTGTGTCTTTCTGGATGCATTTTGTTATTGGCATTTTAATCTTACGTGGAAAAGCAGGGTGCTAAACAGTAACTAGAACTGTTCTGATTCACATCAGGCACTCCAGGGCAGGAGAAGCTTTCAGAGTTGGGTAGCTGTGTCAAGCATTTCTCAAATGACAGAGTAAATGCAGACAGAAATGCAGAGTTGTGAGACCCGCTTCTCAAGGCACGAGGCAAGAGTTAACCACACAGTGGAGCAGGACCTGCATGGGTTGTACCCACATGACTCACATTCACTTTGGGCAGGGCAATCGGTAGAAGTGCACGTTATTTATAGAAATGCTCTTGTGCTAATCTTGAAGTGGTGATTAATCTGTATAGTAATAATCTTTCACTTTAGTACGCAGGGAAATGGTATGCCTTGGCCAAGAAGGATCCAGAAGGCCTTTTCCTTCAGGATAACATCTCTGCTGAATACACTGTTGAGGAAGATGGCACAATGACAGCTTCTTCCAAGGGCCGGGTGAAGCTTTTTGGGTAAGCTTTCTTAACTTATAGTTCCAGCAGCTGCCATGAGGTACTCAGCGTGGGGACATGGATGATGATCTGTCATTGCACACAATGCAAACGGGTTGTCTTTGTCCAAAAAGAAAGATGGATCAAGCCAGTACATTAATGGCTAGACTTCTGAGTCTGGGTTAGTTCTTACCCTGGCTGTGGTCTGGATGTATCAAAAATGACTGCATGACCTCCAGTTTCAATTATAAAGCCCAATCTTGAATATGGAGCTATTAGGTAAATCCCAGACAAGAGAAAAGAGCTAGCAAGCCTGCAGGCAGACGAGAGCACAACAGTGCTGGTTTCACAGAGGATCAAGGGAAGGTAACAAGCATAAGCAAGAATTGCTTTTGCTGATCATTCAACATAGCATTAAGCAGACTTCTGAGAAAAACGCTCAGTTAGCTCTTAGATACCACTGTGGTGCCTGAACAGACAGATGGAAAGAACCTTAAGAATTCTGCTTGTCAGTCATGGTTACTGTAAGGGATTACAATATATGTAGGGATTAAATAGCTTTCTGCATGTGGAGAAGACAGTCTGGGTCTTCCAGCAGACCAGCGCTAGTTCTGTTCTGCATCAGGTACTGAATACTACCTAACTGCATGAATAATAGAGCAGAGTAGGTGGCTGCAGACCTTAGTTCTAACAGCATGGCACTTTAGCAAAGCTGAAGGAAGCTTTGCAGGCATGCAGTTGGGTGGGAAGATTCCTGAAAGGACTCTTAAGAGACCAGGTGGGATATAAAGGCTGCCGGGAATTTCTTTCTGTAAAGGCAGCATAAGAAGGAAATACATCCCACAGAATGCAAATGGAGAGCCTTCCAGTGCTTCACAAATCCAGTAATGCTTGCCATACTGTGGGGAGGCACAAAGCAAAGGGGTGTGAATAAGGACCATTAGTGGAAAAGGATGAAGAAGACTGTCTGTCTGGGTAGTTACAAGGCTCCCATTGTCTGGGCAAAAGACTTTGACTGGTTTGGCCAGCAGAGGCTGTCTGTGCTTGTTTCTGCGCATGTAACAGGCATCCCTGTGCCAATAGACAAGGAAGGTGAAAGGAGAGGAGAGGTACTCCCAGCAGAGGGGTTGGATCCTGGCCTAGCCTCAGCATGGCAGCTCTGTAGATAGTGGGGCCAGAGCAGAGCAGCCAGGCATCGGCATTAATGGAGCCACATACTCGCTGCATTTAATAGCAGACTAGCTTTGCACTAGGGATGACTGTGTCTGAGGGTGTTGAGCTGAATCTGGCCTGGTGCTTGCCCAGTCCTCAGTGGGGTTCACCCAGAGTCTTACCATCAGTCCTGCGGGTCTCGTTGCAGGTTCTGGGTAATCTGTGCTGACATGGCTGCTCAGTACACAGTGCCAGACCCGACCACTCCTGCAAAGATGTACATGACGTACCAGGGCCTGGCGAGCTATCTGTCAAGTGGTGGTGAGTGCCTCTTCCTGCCTCCTTACTGTGCTGCCTAGAGCTTACCACTGCCTGGATTTGTGCATTTGTGACCACAACTCAGGCTGCACCATGTCTGCTCCAGTTCTTCACCTCACAGGTGGAGACGTGCCGGAGGTGGGAGACTCTCAGTCCTGCAGGAGGCTGCCCAGCCCTTTGTAGAAGTGTGGCCTCTCTGTGCTGCGCAGCCCAGTCCGCCATCAGTCTACCATGCCTACAGTAACAACCACATGCTCTGTGTTTCAGGGGACAACTACTGGGTGATTGACACCGACTATGACAACTACGCCATTACTTACGCCTGCCGCAGCCTGAAGGAGGATGGCTCCTGTGATGATGGCTACTCCCTGATCTTCTCTCGCAACCCCCGTGGCCTGCCCCCCGCCATCCAGCGCATTGTGCGCCAGAAGCAGGAGGAGATCTGCATGTCTGGCCAGTTCCAGCCTGTGCTGCAGTCAGGTACCTCAAGCCAACCCGCAGAGAAATGGCTGCACAGGCAGCTTGCAGGGGAGGTGACCGCATTTGCTGTCAGTGTGGCAGAGCTGCAGCAAGCCAAGCTGTAATCGTTTACGATGTTTTTAACTTCATAAGAAAACACTGCAAAAGGCAAGTCCACAGGAGGTAGAGACCCTGTTCCACGGCCTTAAGTTTCCCCTTGTGTGCTGACACTGACATGTTACAAAGGGGAATCAGCTCCTCTGTATCAAATAGGTTGGAGGCCACCTGAGTAACAGCATCTTACTCATGTTTGTGCATCGTCCATGAGGAAAAGAAAGGAAACCTGCCTCCAGAGAGAAATGTGCTCCTCTCCTTAGCTCATTTTGTGTCCTAGGCTGTCTGAACAGCAGCAATGAGGGGCTTTGAGCAGCAGTTCTGGCTGTGTATGCTGGCAGTGAGAGTTAGCAGCTGCTTCACACACACGCTAATGGAGCATATCTAGGGCCCGTTTTGAGGACATTTTTTTTCCTGGGACCATGGAAGCTGATCTTCCAGCTGTTCCTGTGGTAGGCAGATTAATTTCTACAGCTACGTTGGGTGCAAAAGTGTCTCTTCTTGGTGGCCACCCTTTACACATAGCACGTTGCCTGGAGATAGGCCCTGTACTAAGCCAGACCGGAGGACCAGGGCTGGAGGCTGCCACTCTGATTCAAGTGCTCTGCAATGCCAGACAGGAAAAGGCAGAGCAAGCACTGGCATCACACCTGGTTATGGGGATGGTGGGGCATCCCTGCCCCTTGTCCCTTCATATTCATGGGATCGTGTTGATGTGTTCAGAGGGCTAAAACTCAGTTGTCTGTGTCTAGCAAAAGTTGGGAGAACAGGTACAGAATGACACAGCCTGTCTTGTTCTGTGAATCAGCAGTAGTCTAGGAAGATGTTAGCTCCAGTTTCACTAAAGGCTAAAAGGCTGGTAGAACACTTTGCACATTTACTTACCTGAGCTGAGATTTCTTTTCTTTCTTTGCAGGAGCCTGCTAAGAGTATATTTCTGATTCTACCCCTAAGCACAGAAGCCAGACCTCTTGGTACTGAAGCTGCCACTCAGCTAATAAATCATAGTAGTGTGTTTTCTCTGAAAAACACATGAAAATGTTGGGGATTTTGTAAACTGTGCGCAGTACAGTAGTGGTATCTGAATTTTCAAGGTAATACCTAATGTGGCATTTGTCAATAAAAGTTTTTAAAAAACCCATCTATAACTGCTTTCTGTTGCACGCCACTGGAGAGTGGCAGTGGGGCAGCTCCCTGGGAAGGGAGGAGAGCAGGGTGGTCTGCCACAGCCCTTCATGGAGCCAGCAGGGCTTGATCGTTGCTGCCTGGTAATGTCCTAAAATTATTTCTGGAACAACTGAATAGAAAAATAATATTTCTGAGTTGACCCCAAATCTAGAGTGCAGTAAAGCAAATGTTCCTTTCAGTAGCACTGGGCCATTGCTTTAAGAGAGCAGGTACTTCTGTTTCTAATGACACAGGCAATAACACACTCTTCACTGACTTCTTATCCAATCTCTGGTACCTGAGAGCTATAGAACACAAAGGTACACAAGTGGCATGTTTTGTGGGCAATATTTTCATTGATAAAAGAACAAAAATAATATCTAGACAACTCCTTGTAGAAAAAGGGTAAACTGAGTCAGTATTTTTGACAATTTCCACATTCCTTAGTGCAATCAAATTCACTTAGAATGTTCCTATGAATAAAACCATCAGAACAGAACACACCCCACACTGTGCTGAACCCTGCAGTTTGCCAGCAATACGAGGAAGCACATAAGACCAAGTTGAGCAGTTCTCACTCCTGAGCCCTGCATTAGGTCTGTGGTACCGGGATGAAATAGAGAAATGCCTCAGAGCATCACATCACAAAACAGCTTCTGCGACATGCAGTGTCTTTCTTACTGTATCCATGAACACTATCCACTGTATCTGCAGGAGAAGGATGTAAAACACTAACTAAATACATTTCCCCAGGGCCAGACACACGATCCTCAGGATGCAGGGATGTCTCTTGGGCTTTCTTTTCTCAGGAAGCACTCTAAAGCCTCTCAGCAGAGAAACTATGCTATTAAGGTGTTCTTACTTTTCTGGCCTACATTAGCCTACTTCAAGGGGACAAGGTGGTGAACCACCTAAAGTTAAGGTCAGAAGCAGAAGAGCAGCACGCAATGCAAAAGCAAAACCACACAGATAAGAGACTACTGAGTGTTAAAAGATTCCAGTCTTTTGAGCTGGACTAAGTGCAAGGTTAGTGAATCGATTTAATGTTCACCACTTGTTCACCAGTTCCATGAAGAAGTATTGGGGTGGAGTTCTGTGAACTTTGGACTTGTATTACAGCTGATTAGACAACACAAGCCCCTAGATGAAGGAGCCTGACCTTTGGCCAAGACATTCAGACCAGACTACCAGACACCGAGAGGTGAGATTTTAAATTGTCTGCAACTATAACATACAAATTGGCTGGGCATTCTAGCAAGCACAATCCAGATGCAGGGCCAAGCACATCCTTACCGCACTAGGCACAGTCTGTAAGAGTTAGGCAGTAAAATCCCTTCCCAGTCACAAAAGATTGTGTCTCCAGGAAGGCAAGTGGGACTCTGGGAGATTATACTGCAGAGTTACACGTGTCCCAGGAGCCTGCCTTGTCCTGAGAAAACACATTCCCATCAAGATCACATTCAGGACCTTACTGTGTGATCTGATGAGTTAATAAACAGATAGAAGTGATCTAATTAGCTCATGTCCATTTCTCTCCGCTGACTTCTCAGACTGACAGGCTAAGTAAAGTCAGTTAGGTAGTAACAAGTGTATTCTGCTCTGAGCCAAAGTACCCTTGCTCTACTGGGTTCAGCATCTGATGTTCAGTGTAAGTCTAGGGCAGACACACTTCTGCTTGCTGTTTCAGCAGGCTAATGGAAACCAGTCTATTATTCCTGGTTCTAAGCGTGTCTACAGGTCCCAAGTCCTCCTGTTCTGCACAAACTTTCCACTAACAAGAGCATAGAAAAAACTGTTTACAAATGAAAAGGACTGTTGTTTTGTCCTCAGAAGGTCTTTTGGTGCTGGCAGAAAGGCTGAGATTGTGCAACAGCAGGAGGAACACTGCAAGGATCTTGTCCTTCAGATGCCAGTGTACCTCCTCACACCAAGGACACTCAAGTCCCGAGATCCAATAGTAGAATATCATAACATGTTAAACCAGTTTTCCTCTGGGCATAAAGAAAAAACAAACCTGTAGCTGAGAAACCTATGTGTCTAAAGCCCTACTTCAGCCTCGACATACTTTTTTTTTGTCACACTTCCTCCATGCTTCAGTTCTGTATAAGGTTGGAACTCGCACCAGTCAGGCTCCTATACCTTGAGAACAGTGGCAGTGCTTCATAATTAACCACTAACATAAGAGTACTGAGCAGCTACCAGAGCACAGTGATTGCACCTTGTTTTAGCAGGATTCATACCTGCTAAAACAGAGATGTTTTATTGTGCAGCACAAAAGATGCTGTATAAAATCAAAATAAAAAAACAAATCCAGTATATACACAATTAAACAATATAAAATATCCCCTTGATTTTTCCTTTGGATTCATTTTAACAAACAGTTGCAAAACAATCTCAGAAGCTTTTGCCTCTTGAAAAGCACACCATCTTATCTTGAGGTTGCAGTTAGATTTTCTTATTTCTATTGCTTAGCCAGAAGAAGACTTATCTGAGAACTCTGCAGTGCTGCTTTGGCTCAGAAGCTACAAAAACCACAGAGCACCTGCTACTCCCCACTTACCATTTATGCACATCCAGCACTTATGAAACCTTAAAGCACTGGGGAAAGCTGACTGCTGTCCCAGTAAAGGAGGAGATGGTAGAAATGAACGATTAAGCAAGCAATGTTGGAAGCCCTATGAGACAGTCAGTGGCAAACAGTCATAGAGAACTCAAGTTTCAAGTTGTAAGTAGCAGATTTTGTAGTCACTGAAATACAGAAAAGACCAGAGGAGCAAGTTCATACCTTGCTGGGAACAAATTCTAGTTTAGAAACTTTCTATCCTCTATTACAGATTTTTGGATTTGCTCATTGCTTAAAGGAGTAAGTTTATACTAAAGCAACAAAGAAGAAGTAGAAAAATAAATAAATCTTGCTGAGTATGTAAAACTTGTTTCTGAACAGTTAGTGCACCATTTTTGGTCAGCTGTTTTCCATGCACAGTTGCCAGTGCCAGTGAATACTTGAAAAAGCACCATCCACACTTTGGATGATAAATGTAGGAGACCTAAAAGAGGTTGCTAGTGACTTCAAAGTGGCTGAAGTTGGTCCTGACAGAATAGATTCTACCTGCATCTACAATATTCTTAGGTCTGCTTTTGCAAATGTTATTTTTATAACTATTGTATAGTCCTTGAATTGAAAACTACTACTACATGCAGTAGCTGCCCACACAGGGAAATCATAGTAAGACTACATAAATATGGCATCCTAACTGTCCTCTCATGCTTTTATATTATTCCCATTTTAGATGCACTATTCATACTTAAATGTGTCTTAAATGTGTCTCAGTGGTTCCACCTCATACTGGCAAACTCTATATCTTATCTAGTGGATCTACTTATCTTCATTTTTGGATTCTTCACTTGGATGTAGTTGTAACAACGTTAAAATGTATTTTTACTATCCCCATTCTGATAGGACTTCTCACTGATGCTTTTCTGAAACTGGTATAATTACCAACTAAGAAGACTCTGATGTTTTTTTTCTTGTTGTGTACAAGTCTTTACAAGTAAGGAATTGGCAGATTTGGATGCAACAATCACTCCTCAGTCAAACTTCAGTGAGGTAAGAAATATTTCACCTGAATTCTGAGGTCAAATTTTTTAAGGCTACCTTTTAGTATAAGCACTTGAACAAATAACTAGAAAGTGTCATTGAATACTGACATTCTGTATGTTTCTTTCCCATGTTGTAAATATGCAGCCGTTTTAGACAGTTCAGCTATCTCCTACTGTGCAAACTTTTTTTTTTTTTTGCCTGTGTTTCATCAAAAATGCAAGCTTCGTTGTGAGGCTGGTGAGGTGTCTGATGTCAGCAAAGAGAGCAGCAGGGGAGATGTTTGTGTGACAAAGTTGCTCCTCTAATGGAAAACATTCCAGCTGTTTTCACTGGCAATATCTTTCCCTCTACAAGCATTTTAAAGGCACTGCTCAAACTGTGCTGCTGTGAAGAGGGGTGAGTAAAAAAAACACCCCTGCAATTTCAAGGAACTTTGTTGTTGCATAAAGTGTTTGGCATTTGCAAGGACAGCCAGAGGTGTTCCGTAGCTCATTATCTGGAGCAATAACACACTTGAGCATGTGGTTTCTGAAATATGGAGACTCAAACTGCTCTTGATTAGTTTCCTAGCTGGTTGTCAGCTGTAGCCCTCTGTTAAATGCAACTGTGCGTTATGCTATAACACAAAAGGCTTTAACCAGCCTTTTAACTTTCCTAGGAATCCAAAGCCAAGCCTCCTTTACAATCTAAGCATGAAACTCCAGAAGGGAAGCATGCTGGGGAGAGATGTTACCTGAAGGGCTGTATAAAGCGAGATTAGGTAAGAGTGGAATGGAGAGGAAGAGACACTTTTGGAGCTAGAATCTTCACCCTAAAGAGGCAGTAACTCATGGCTCTGTACAAACACAAAGACCTCCACAAAGGCAAGGAGGTGACTCAAAGGCAGCGAGCAGCAGGTGCAATGCAGTCTACAGGCAGGAACTCCCTTTGTGAGAGGGAGAAGAACCTCATGCACCTAAGAAGAGTGGAAGTGCTCTGAAACAACCCTCAGGAGCATGTATGTTTAACTGATGGGAAAGACAGGACCTTCCACTTCATGATCTGTATGTGCAAGTCTGGTTGCCATCTGCTCTTCTATCACTCTTTATGTCAAGATACAGTCAGGCAGCTGAAGCAGGCAGCTCACTCTCAGACAGGTCCTCTTGTGCCTTTACTGCCATCCTCGCCCATATAGTAAAGTGATGGCATTGCTCCTGCTGCAGTTTGTGACCTTCATGAATATTTGTCTGTTCTGCATATCAGATTGGTGTAAAATAGCAAACAATAATTTCTAGTTACCAAACTGAATGCCAGTCCTATAACTGTTGTCAGCAGTGGTTTTTTGATAACACTGTCTTTGATCTCTGAAGAGTTAATAGAGGCAGTTGCTTCAGACTTGCATTCCTAACTTGCTTCATCAGGTCCTTTCTATACTCCCCCCGTAGATTGGGAGGAGTTTACTTTTCTGGGGAGTTGTCATCTGCAGGAAGAATACATCACTCCGTCAACAAACCAGGCACCACTCTTCAGAGTCACTTGAGAGCTTCAACATACTCCACAGGAACAGAGGACAGGCCTGCCTTTCCCCAGTAGTCAATGGCATGCACCCTGTAAAAGCCGGAGACTGAGCTTCCTGCAAATGAAAAGGTTAGAAATGGTAAATGTGAAAGGCTGATACATGTGGTGCTTGGAGGATGTGGAGCAGGCAATGCCCTGATAAAATGTGGGTTTGTGGGAAGTAGTTAATTCTGTTGTGCACGCTACATAAGTGTGCCTGTACCTGCCTAACTAAAAAGGCATATAAAATCCTCAGCGTCAAATGCTCTTATTTTCATTAGCATCGAGCACCTCCTCTCGTTATTAGGATTTGTGAGCACAGTCATGGGACTGCCTTCCCAGCAGCCCTTCCAAAGAAGGCTAGGGTATCTCTAGAAATTTTCCTTTTTTCTGACTTGAATTCTGCCTATTGTTGTGTGCTGGGACAGGTTATATGCGGACAGGACCAACAAAGGAGAACGACGATTATGCAAGCTGACTGAAAATCCTCTGTTCGACTCCAGTAGTGGGACGGCTTTCTCCAAAGGTATGTGAGTTGCTATTCTGCAGCTCTGCTAGCTTTCATCCTTTATCTAGCTTAAAGAAGACAGCTTTCACTAGCAAGGACTTCAACTTCACAAACAATATGTTTTTTGTAATCTATTTACTTGACTTAAATCTGGGCTTTAGTATTTTTTCTTTTCCTTAAGAAAAAAAAAAAAAGGGTGGAAATGATGAGTGAGAAATAAGTATCTAGCAAAAAAAAAAAGCTGCAAAGATGTGGGAATTTTTTCAAGAAGTCTTTTTTTTTAAACAAACACGTAAATATGGCACATTCTCCAGATGAGCAGCACTAGATGATAATTGATTCTAATCTCAGAAATTTGCCTTAGCCATAATTTACAATTTTTTCTAACCTGGGCAGCCTTCCTGTTGCAATAGTACATCATGGCTCTGAACTTTATCGTGTGCCCACTGTTGATGCTAAGTCTTTCTTGGGCTAAAATGAGCTTTTGTTTTTGGCAAAAGCTTCTCTGGCTTGCAGTTCATTAGTATCACTTTCAGACAAGAGATCGGTTGACACAGATGAACTTCCTTCTAATGTGAAATATCTAAAACTTAGGCAGCTAGTTGAATCTGAAAATAAAGCTGTAGGAAAGAGCAAAGAGATGCATCTCACTTTGGTTAGGTATTCACATGTTAGAACAAACTACCTGATGGAAGAACATCTTCAGTTCTTAAAAAGTGAGAACCTCAATAGTTTGTCAAACCATAAAGGGTGTAAGCGCAGGACTGATGACCAGGTGAAGAGCAAAGTGCAAACTTCCTCTGTTGCAGCTAAGAACACGATAAATGCATGTATAAATAAACTATTCCTCAAAAGGTGGACGTGAACTCATACTTATCTGTGTGCTGAACTGAAGTACTTGGGCAGCTTAACACCTCAAAACTCAATGGTACAAAACAAGTGTTACAAAGCTGTTTGCTCCTATCACCCTGTGCCAAGAGGACTGTACAAACTGTATTTGCCACACTCTTAAGGCCACTGGAATTGAGCCTAGACCTCAGACTTTTCTTGCTTTGAGCATGCTACCAAACAATCAGCACAATGCCAAACTCTGGTCATGTGGAGAAAGTTTTTTTGTTCTCATTTTTGTATGCCTCTACATCAGCTAGGAATAGAGACAAAGAACTTGCTTTTCCTTGCAGAGAGCACACCAGGCCTATGTCTGGGTGACCTCGGTTTCTGTGAGAAAGAATTTACTCATGGCAACGTTCTTAGTAATGTCCTCATAACTGCTGGTTGGTTTTTTTTTTTCCAATAAATGCTTGTTTTGACAATAAGGCTTTTACCAAGTACTTAGTCCTACTGAAAAAGATATACACTTTTTGTGATGGGAAGGTGTACACTAACAAATTACATATTTTTGGTACTTATTAATTGAGTTTTCAGACATTTACTACTATTGACTACTATAGACATGCTATTAACATGACAGATAATACTATGTACAGTCTGACTTTACCTGGACTGTAGACATACAGAGTGAATATTGTGTCTTTGGCATTAATACGGTTGTAGACTTTTCCATTTGGTGAGAACTCAACTTCAAATGTCTTTATACACCTAGAAAAGAGAACTAGCCAAGTTACTAAACATAACTTACAATACAATAAATTATCAAATCTCAATCACAGAGATGAAGCTGACACATCTAGACTGGCTATGTCAGTGCTTCCTAAGGAAAATCGCGTCTGTCTTGGACTTCTGATAGTTCATCTACACAGAGTTGCTACTCCAGTACAGCTTGCTGGAGTAAGAAATATAAAGTTTTCTATTCCAGCCTATACCCATTATGGATGATTCCACCTAGGCACTTACTGCTAATATAGCAACTTTTATCATGGATCTTTCTATCTGCTATGCTTAAGGAATATCTCTCAAAAATGTCATTGGCTGCTTGTGAACAGCAGGCAGGTTTTCCTATGCAAACAGCATTTTCTCTGTAAATGCTGTATGGAAATCCGACACTTCATTTTGTCAGGGAAATGCACTTTAATATCACTCGAGGTGCAAGCAGTGATTAATTAGTGAATCTGTAGGACTGGTGGCAACTTAACAATTCACACGCTGGTTGTATCTATCTTAGAAGTCACTTACTTTGAATTTACACAGCCATCGTCCCACAGCACAATAACCTGTCCCTTTGTGAGAGGGATGAAACGAACACCGGTCACCTGTTCAAAGACAAATGCCCATGTGAGAAAGCTGCACAAACCAATCAGCTAGGTGAGATGTTCTGTGCTCACCCTACCTTACTGAGTTTCATTCTTTCCATTAAGACTGGGGGAAACAACAAAAATCCTGGCTCTGTGGCTTTGTAGATCTCCAATCTCTAAACCTTGCATAAGACTTTCAGAGGTTCTGGAAACCACTATAAACATTTTAATCATTTGAGATTGAACGAGCAGAAGCAGTTATCTTATCTGAGACATCATTATTTCAGTTTATTTTTAGCCATAAAATATTAACTGGGCAGGTGTTGTCAAGCCTGGTAGCGTATCATATAATTTTAAAAAAGAAACTGCATTACTACATTATATTTTCCCACCATTTGTTAAACTTGCATTTATCTCAGTGATGGCTCCTATCTCTTCAGTGGAAATGCTTTGTCTTGAATTATGCCTTGGATAGCTTTATCAAAGGAGAGAATAACTGTTTCTTTACTACACAGTGCTTCTAATATATAATGGGCCCAAATGCTAGTCTAGCTTTCCTTAATGAGATTTTAAGAAGGAAGCAGTTCCTAATTTGGTGTGTGATGACAGAATACAATACATACTTGATCAGGAACCGAACTGGGTCTTGAACAGATGTGGATCAAAAAGACTGATGGAATAGGGAAGTCTTGCTTCAGTGTCAAGGTGCCACTTTCAGGAAAAGGCAAGGGACCTGTTACCACTGGGTCCTGTGGAGCAAAAAACATGCCCTGTGAATAATCTTTCATTAATGTTATAGAACATAATATCTAACTGTTACATCCAAGTGAAGTGACCGCACATTTATTTTGGAGTCATAAATTTCTAGTAGAGTCTGAATATTTTATGTGCTGAGTCTGAGTATTTGTGTGCACTCCCCACCCTTTCACCTCTGCCACTGATCCCCAGTGTATAGTGAAAGTGATTGGTAGTTATAACAATCACACAGCTTGCTCACTGAGGATTAGGTATCAGAAGATGGCCAAGAGGATCTAAAACCTTTCTGCTTTCTTGCTGAACGCAGACCTTATGACTCCTATAAGATCCCAAAGACTTCAGCAGTATAGTGACTAGGAAGAGAAGATACAATACTGTATATCAAGGTCAGAAGGCAATTTCTGTCCCTGAGCAGAGAGGTGGTAAAGGTGGTCCCCTTACTTTAACCCAAAGGGCTGAAAAATATGAGAGAAGCTAAAATGACAGTCTACTTATACATCTGCATATACAGTAAGCAATCTGGGCATGGCTGTTTTTTGTTACTGAGGGCTTATCCTTTCAACTGTCTCCTGAGATAGTATGGCCCTTCTGTAATGCATGCAGGGCCATGCAACTTACTCCAGGCCACTAGCAAATAAACTGGTGATAAACATTTAGACTCTTGCATAAAAAGAATGCAAAACTATCAGTTATCTGTGAGTTACATTTCTCTGCTTAGCTGCAAGTCACTTGAATAGGAGATGGAAATTTTGACTACCTTAGTTAGTGTCTTGTCTCTTTAGCTGTAATTAACCAACTTACAAGCACGTGACCCATACAATACTTCAAGCAAAGACAAGGTCATACCTCAGCGTCCCTTATTTGCTGGAACTGTTCTGGGGAAGGAAAGTCAGGGCTTCCTACTTTTTTCCACTTCAGATAGGGATTGGTTTGGTTGTTGTCCAGGTAATACATCACATACACTGGCTCTTCAGGACACAAATAAAAGACAGTAAACACTTCAATTAGATTGAAATGCCAACGTGAATTAATTTAACAGAAGGTGTTAAAGTCTACTTTCTCAAAAGTGATTTCAGCACTTTTGAGTTGCTTCCATTGCGAAGTTGTAAAAATAGTGCTAGCATTTTTATGAGGCTCCGTAATATATATCTGCCAAATTCCACACCCAGAATTGAAACCCACTTCTTTTTTTTTGCAGAAGTCCCGCATGCATTTGTTGGACAACTGCATCATTTGTGTAATTACGTAGTCATGTTGAGTGATCCTTGTAAGATAATTTGTTGCCTGATATAACCCAGCTAATGAACTAAGATGAAAAGCTTTCTGAAAAGCTAGCTTTTTTCCTGCCTTTATTAAAGGCAGGAGCAAAATGTAAAGAACATTTCCTAGAAGAGCACCATTGTATCTCAGAATATGTGGGAGTGCTCAGAAGACAAGTAAGAGAGCTAGCAAATGAAACTCACTCTTACTAGGAAAAGCAATTAAGCAGAAATGTTTCAGAACATGTTCTGTCCTCACAATCAATTCTGAGAATTGCCTATATGATATGTGTTTACCTCTAAGTTTGGGGAAGTGGGTGGCGTTCACTGTGATGGTGCTGACATTGGATGAAGTCCTGTTATCCTCACTTGAATACATCAGCAGAGTAGCTTGCCAACTGTCTGAGGGCTGAAGCTCACTTGGGGTGTGCACAGATGCCAGGACACCAAAGGTGCTGTTTTCAGTGCTTTCACCTTCACCGCTGTTTACTTCCGCAAAAATCTGCTTTTCTCCTTTGAAAAATGTGATAACACTGTAAGCATGCTACTCAATCCAACTTCTGATGCAAGAAGGGTTGAAACATAGGGATCTGTAGGTCGAGCTATGTTCTGGCTTGGTTTACCAGGTGTAGTATCAGTAAAGCTTATGTATGGTTTTTACAACTGAAAAGCAAGACACTACAGCAATTCAGGTGATGTCTAAGCATACAACCATGAATTAGGATTTCCCCTTAGTAGGCTGTATGAGTTTTACAGCTGGCAGTATTTCTTGAAGTCATTTGCAGCCTGAAATGATGGCACAGAAGGGAAGTTACAAGTCCACTATAAAGAAGTGTTTGGATTGCAGAATTTATAAACAAAACAGCAGATTAAATCACAGAGATGATAAGTGGTCAGGAAGATCTCCTGACCTCCAAGAAAATAACAGTTTGTTTTATTTAAAAATCACAGTTGAGTAGGAAAAATCCAGCTTTTTATCTGGGGTGAGATGGCTGAAATAATCTCTCTCATGTATGAAACATCTACGCAGATGAGGTTAAAATGCGCTTCCTAATCAGTGATTACTGTACCTAGCAGTGCCAGCAAGCCCATGACAGTCAGCACTGGTTTCCGCACCATCTGGACGTGAGGTGGCTTTGTATTGTTCATCTGAAAACGTGCTGTCAGAGTCCGCTGTGTGAAGTAATGGGGGTAGTAGCTCATGAAGGCATTGTCATTACTCAACAGTGTATAGTTAATGGTGTTGTTGGCTTTGGAAATCAGTAAGTTTTGATGTTGGATGATTACCTGCAAAACAGCAGAGAAGATGGAAAATATTCAACAAACACAATGATGTCTTTATTTGTTTTAAAATTCACAGCATACTGGGAAGACACGTCACTGTCATTTAGAAAAGTGTGAAGAATTAAACTATTCACCACAGCTCATGAAGAAAAGTATTTTTCAAGTGAAAGTTTAAACATTGGATAATTTAAGTATTCACACAGCTCGGTTGATTAAAAGACTGAAGTGAGTACTACTGGTAGTCTGCATAAATTATTAATATGTCTGAACTACAAGTAATATTCCTCTGTTTGAGCAGTAGATTAGTAATCTGCATTTAGCATCCGAAATAAACATTTATTCCAGTTCTGGAGACACCCTGTAGCCATTACAAAGGGCTACAAAGGGAGCTGGGCCTTCAAGTTGCTCCAGAATCCAGGGATTCTGTTTCTCCTTGAGCAGTTTTAGCCATTAGGCACTAACATGGAATAGATTCTCTTTCAGTATTTCACTGGTTACTTGCCATTTTCCTGCAAAATGTCAGAGCATCCAAGCTCTCTGCCGAACATATTTTGCCTAGAAGTCAGAAACAAATGGTACTTCAGAACAGAGAAGGTCTCATAGTCGTACTCCTCAAATAAGGGCTTTTAACCAGGTTAAAAGCTATCTACCAAAGAGTTAATTTTCCATTAGATATGTCTTTTCTATCCCTTCATAACTCTGTGTCACGGTAAACACTGCTGTTTGCTCTCATGAATTCTCAGCAATGCAGCCAGTGACTTGCTGCTTTGGAGAAGATTTAGGAGGTAGAAGGTCCCAGAGGTGCAGGTGAAAAGATGTATCCCATTTCTGGGTGAAACACATTTTGCCATGGTTGCTATAGGAGGTAGTGACTCACAAAACAACAAACATGCAGCAGGAATTGTTGCTACGTAGGGGCAAAAGTTGAGCTTGCACAGGGTACAGAATACAGATTCTGCAAGGGCGTGCTGAGCATTCTCTTCTACTTCTGCTTTTCCAAGCATGAGCAGTAATGACAAGCACTAATTAGTAAAACCATATGTATGGAGTCATTATCCAAAGCCAAAGAGCAGGCTTAGAGATTTACTTCTTAATTGTACTTGATGTCCCTTGACAAGATGAACTTGTGAAGAGGCTGGAAAATAACATAACAGAAGGGAGATGGCAACAGCAGTATTACACAGAGAGAGAATGGGTAGTCTTACAAGTGAATCTAAATGAGAGACTGTATACAATATCCAAAACATTCTCCAACATATGGGAGGCTAGCTGCCAGTTCTCTTCTTTAAGGGAAGATTCAGAAATTTAATATAAATTAAATAAAGCTACTGGAGGCAAAGAATTAAGGGAAACACTGGCTATATCTGTATTTTCTTGTCTCTGTTACTAAGTTATCAGAATAATAAAAATTAAAAATCAACTACTTTTGCAAAATGGCCTACTTTTACAATTGCATTAAAGCTTCAAGAGACTGTACTATGACAAGACTGTCAATGAACTGAGTTACCTTTACAACCATAGCTGCATATGTCACATCAGCTCGCCACAGTTGTGGAATAGACCATCCAACCATTGGATCTGCTTCATCGTTGTATATGGGAATGGAAGCAAAATTTGGAAATAACTTCTGTATTTGTTCAACCGCTTCCACTTCCTGTTGCAAGATGTAGAGAGAACGCCCACCTCCCTGCAACAATATTTTGTATCTACTTAGTAAAAGTGAGCAAATAGTAGTAATCACAGAGATGCACCACCATATTTTGAAAATATATTCTTAGATATACATCCTTCTTAAAAGTTTCCTTAGAACAACTAATTGTATTTCCTTCCACAGGCTGCTTGCTTACAAGAAAATCAACATCATTAATCAGAATAAAAAATAACTTAGACTGAACTGCTTAAAAATAGCTTTAACTTGAAGTCTTGAACTAACCTTCTTATGAAGAGAGATGTAGTCCAACCTTACACCAGTCTCTCCTGTGAAAAAGTTGGTTCCATTGTAGCAATGACACAGAAGACTCCAGCATATGGGTGACTTGGGAAAGGGGTGGAAGGAGTCCCCAGGTCCTCCAAATTTTAGTAGACTACTAGCTGCTCTTAATCCTTCTGAGCAGGCATCATAATAGTTGAGAAACCCTGAAGTCCAAGCAGATGCACATAACAAACGTGATAACTCAGAATCTAAAACTAAAGATATTTCTTTCTACTACTACATTTATTTGGACTGACAATATAAGAAGATACGAAAGCCTTCACTGCATTCACAAGGTTCTTCCAAAGGTCTTGTGAAGTCAGGCTCCTAAAGCACTTACTTGACAACTATTTTCATCTTACTGCCCTGCTACCCCTAGTAAACTTATTTTATAACCAACCAATGGTCTTAATAGTGTAATTTGTGTTCTGTTTTCTCTGTTATGCTATTTCTGTATTTATACTGATGTTCAAGCAGGAGACAGAGTAACTACTGTAGTCGGTAACATAAAAGATTAAATACATTTTTAATGCACATCTCTCGCATCTACTTTATTTATTCAACATTTCTCCTTTTTCACTGTTCCCCACTCAACACACACACCCTTCTGACATTACTGCTACTAGTAAGTGCTCAAAAATATGCTTACCTTTCACTGTCATAGACACATTGTCGAAGTCATGGTGATCTGGTTCATTCCAAGTTTCAAAATTCCATTTAGCAACATGCTCCAATCCGTATCTATCTGTGCAAGAGGCCTCATTTATCAGTGATCTGCAGTGCATGTACAGACAATCCTATCAGCTAGACATGTGCTGCATGTGAAGGTATGCACCTGAAGCTACAATAGGGTGTAAATGATCTCTTTTTAATAGTCATAAAAATACAAATTGGGTAATTTCAAAATGATCTTTCATCTTGGGTATAGCAATAGCAGAAAGATGAAAAGACCACCAGCACAAAACTGCAGAGCGAGGTGATGTGAGTAATAACTTTGTTGTCAAAGTATGTAGACTGCATGAGGCCTAGGCTAAAGCTTCTGCCTTGTGAGAAATTCTTGAAGCTACTGTGTGGGATGTATTCAGGCTATGATGGCCCAGCACAAGCAATACAAGTTAAAATTCAGTCCTCACAGGCAGGTCAAATGGGCTACCCAGACCACATACTGTACAGTCAGGCTTTTGGTTGTGGATCAGCTAAATGGGGCTACTGTCCCATTTACTATTCTGATATACCTATTTTCCTCTTTTGCAATGAAATCTAGTGTCAAGAAACTACAACAAGCCACAGAACATTCTGAAGTAATTAAAAAAGACTACAATAGAATAAGTTACAGGGGTGTTCTCATTTTTTGGAACTTACCTATATATCTGCTGGCCAGAAGTGTAACTAAGTTTCTCCATCTTACTACTTGCTCTTTATCTTCAAAATTTAGAAAATATCCTGATGGATTGCCCATCAATTCAAATCCTAAAACAGACACAAAATATCAGTTTCTTTCCTTCTCCCTCCCCTCCCCTTCCCTCCCAGTTTCTCCCTCCCCCTCCCTTTTCCTTTTTAATATTATCCCCTTTCGATTAGTGAAAGGGTTATTGTATTATTTGAAGCAATCTTATTAGAGAAGAAGCAAAGACAATGAAGAAACATCCATAAGTTGGCTTTCTGTCCTGTTTCTGTGTCCCCTCTGGGAATATTTCAGATGTGAGTTTGCTGCATTTGGTCCTTGCTGATGACAACAGTAACCAATAGAAATGCTTCTATCATAAATACAGTGCAGAGGAGGAACTTTAAACAGTAGATATCTGCAGAGATTCAAGGGATGCTGTATCTTGAGAACCTGCTTCTCTGGCCCCTTTAGGTGCATGTTAGTTCATAAAAAACTTTTTCCAAGAGATGTAATTTCCCAATCAGTACATCTCAGACTATCATTGAAAACTATGTAAAAGCATTTGTGTTGTCTTTATTACCCTAATAATGCTTTTCTCAGAGTGTTTACATTAATGTGGATATGAAGGAAAATGCAAGTAGTAAAAAAAAAAAAAAAAAAAAACCCACAAATTTTTATCAAAATAAAATGTTCCCTAAGAGTAGTTCTATCTGATGATTGCACAATGTGGACAAAACAGCAGATGAACCAAGTTCTGGAGGTAGGGAGTTACTCTTACCTGGAGTAAGCTTATTTTCCCACAGACGATCCATAAGGTTATCCAAGGCAGTAAAATTGTAGTAAAGTTTCTCATTCATCATTCTGGGGAGAAAAAAAAAAAAAAAAAAAAAAAAAAGTTAAATGTAAATACTGTAGTACTTGTCTGCAGATACCTGCTTTCTTTTGGCTTTCAAAATTTACACCTAATTAGGGTTCTTGGAACTGCACACTGATTTCCTTCCTCTGAAGGGTGTTAAGCAAAAGCAAGCCATTTTTCTCGTCCAACACATGCCGTTTTCCTACTTCAGTGGCAGCAACAAAAGCAACATAATTAGGATGCCTGTCAGGTTTTGAGTGCTTAGTGTTAGTTTCTCTAACTTTTTGCTACAGCAGAATTTACCTAGACTGCTTTGGGCTACCCTGGTTTTTCAGTTTCCTTTTGATTTCCTACTCAAAGGCCAGCTTTGTCTCATATTGCTAAGGCTCTTTAATTTACAGTATATAATACAGCTATACTATAGTGCTTCTATGAGTTTAGGCCCACCTGGGAAATAGCTCCATGCCTTTCAAAGAACAGCATATTTACATGTGAAATGTCTGCAATTTTTACTTTACTGTTAGCCTTTACTTCCTATTTCTTTTGCACTTCTAGGATCTCAATCTGCAATGATTTTAATTTCCAACTTGCATCTGTACCTAGAAGTGGAATTATGTTAGCCACATTTAAATGCATATGTTCGAACACTTAGGAAAATCCTAAGGGGCTTCCCTTTGTGTTAGCAATGCTTGCAGGAGTAGGCAACTCAGGAGTGCACGATTTGGGAATGGAGCTGCACGAAATCAGTGAAATTCTTCCACCCAGGGGCTGCGAATTTCTATTTGCAATTTATTTATGACACATTTGAAGACATATCTTAAATGCCTGAAAGGCTTTTCTTAATCAATATCCAATGAAAGCAAATATGATGTGCTATATGGGTTGTGTACTGTTTCACATAATTTCTGAACCTGTAGCCTGATTTAACTGAAATCTGACAGAATAGAATTCTTGCCAGTATGATGTGCCACCCAGGAATTAAAATTAACTTTTGTTGAAAATATTCCAGCAATATAACTTATTGCTGTTCAGCACAAGCCACAGACTGGTGTCAAAATTCTGCCCTCGATATGCACTGACTAAAGGTTTTGTAAGCACTCTTTTAGTCCAACCCTAGTCAAGTAAGACGGCTGGTCAGGAAATCAGAAATGATTTCTCCAGTCTTGCTAGAGAAACCAGATTTCACTGGTAGAGTGCAGCCTGAGCTCTGCCCTGAGCTGCTGTCTCATCTACTCTTTCCCTAGGTACCTTGTCTCTGCTATGGAGGTACAAAGGAGCTGCAGATACAATGTCCTAAGATAGAAGCAGGAGAGACAGTCGATTGCAGGATCTGTGATTGACTAGATCTAGCAAGGAATGCTAGCCACAAAGGGTAAAAAGTGGGAGTAGGACAATCAACAGAAGAACTATTAAATCACTGTTCTCTGTTGAGATTCACAATTCATTTATTTCCATGCCATTAACAGAGGAGAATGACTCCAAGCCTGCTAAGTTGAGGCTTCTTCTGACCTCTCTTGACAAGGGAAGACTTCACTGAAGAACTTGTAATAGTAATCCTGAAGTTCTCAGAGAAATAAGGGGCTCACAGAATTGCCTACTGAATAAAGAATTATGACATGAAGTAGAGAAAGTGCCATCTGCATTTCTACCATCTGCAGAGCAAAACAGGCAAAAAAACCATAATCCAAGCCATATTTACCATACCAACTCCATCTGTGATACAACCAAGCACATACTTTTAGTCCCAGAAGGTCACACTCTTACCAAAGACCTGAGGCTGGCTTTCCTCTTTCAAGGTATGCCCTGCCACCATGACAGACAGTGTTGTGTCTGCAACTACTGACAGGTCTGATGTTCCTGCCAAAGTCAAATAATGTAGCAGAATGATTAAATAATTAAGCAAATGGAAGAAAGATTTATTTTAGTATTTATTTTACTGCCCACAGAGCATTTCAGAAGTTACTGCTGGACTTACAGTATAGTTATTTGGAAGAAAAATAAAAAAGAAAAAAAAAGTCTGGCAGTCCCATTCCAAAGTTCAAAGACAAACATTTTGCCACAGAATGTTGTCTTGCTGCCACAAATCCATTAACTATTTCCAGTTATACCCTGTGTTCTATTGAAATATTTGCTTACCTGTACACTTACATTCAGTGAGCACAGAAATGATTAACTCTACCGTCTTGTAAATACTTAATAATGCCACACAAATAACAGCAGAAGAATGAAAGTCTTTCTAACAAATATTGGCTGTCAGGCTGCTACAAGACGTGATACTAAATATAATTTTATGACACTAATGACAAAACAAAACTGATCAACTCAGCAGTCAAAAGATTGCATTGCCTTTGATAATTAATAAACTTGTAAACTCCTATAGATCTTCAAAATTTTTTTTTTTTTTTTTTTTTTTTTTTTTTTTGCATTCTCCCTTCCTGATTTTTCCTAAGTCATTGTTTCCAGATGCCTCTGTCTCCATTTATTAGCAAGCAGAAAGAAATCTATGTACTTATTGTTTCACCTGAACACCTGTCAGGCTAAGACTGCTCTCAGTTTGTTGTTGGCTATGTCAGATGTGGAGCAGCAGTCACTGTCTCATTTGTGCCTGGCTTTCAAAAGTCACTTAACTGGGCTTTTCATGGAGACTTGCCAGATGAAGTTTTACTCTTCTTCAGTCACAACAAGCAAATGCATGTTAGCATGTTTACTGGTATTTTGGCAGCAATGTCCTTGTAAGCCGAGGCCTAGTTTGCTATATTCCAGTGATGGCACTTCTTTTCAGTCTTTGTCACAGTCTCACTTCCAGACTCATTTATTTGCACTGCCTTGTGAGAGCAACAGCTGTGAACATGAACAGTGATGAGTAAGGGGAGGTGTGTGTAGGGACTACCTGCTTGCTGTCACAAAATCTTATTTCTCTCCTTCCTGGAAAGAAGGTTTTTTGTGGGCCATCCTTTGCTGAGTCAAAGATTGTAGACCATTGTTAACAGCTTTGCTTTTCTAGAGTATGGAGGAAAATTATTTTCAGGTGCATAGGCAGCTCCTGGACAGCTTGCCAATGCTCTGCCAAAGGCAAAGCATACCTGATCAATCTGGTGGTCTTCTATGGTGGAGTGACAGAATCAGTCAACAAAGGAAGAGCAACTGATACAGTCTTTCTGGACTATGTAAAGTCTTGAACACAGTTCCACATAACATCTTTCTCTCTAAATTGGAAAGATAAGGATTTGAGGAACTGGATGCATGGATGCAGACACAGGGTTGAAGTCAGTAACTCTCCATCCAGGTGGAGGCTGATGATACATGAGATTGAAAAGTGGGTCCACATAAACATAATGCTGTTCAAAGAAGCCAAGCGCAAGGCTTAACTGGAACAATCCCAGATATAAACATAGAGTTTATACAGGCACAGCCCTGTGGAGAATGATGTGGGGTCTTGGTAGACAAAGACCTGCACGTGAGCCAAAAGGGTGCAGTGGCAGCCCACAAGGCCAATGGTGTCCTGGGCTGCAACAAAAGAGGAGTGGCCAGTAGAGAGAGGGAAGTGATAGTCCCTCTCTGCTCTGTCCTTGTGAAGCCCCATCTGGGCTACTACATTCAGGCCCCCAGCAAAAGGAAGATGTGGAGCTGTCAGAGCACATCCAGAGAAGGCCACAAGGACGATCAGAGAGGGCTTGAGCACCTCTTCTATGAAGACAGGTTGAGGGAGCTGGGATTGTTCAGCTTGGAGAAGAGAAGGCTCAAGACCTCTTTGCGGTCTTTCAGTAATTAAAGGGAGCATACCAATAGCAGGAAGACTAATGTTTTACATGGGGAAACAGCAATAGGACAAGGCAAAATGGCTTTAAAATAAAAGAGGAGAAATTAAGATTACATACTATGAGGAAATTCTTTATTCAGAGGGTAGTAAAACAATGGAGCAAGTTGTCCAAAGAAATTGTGGATGTCCCTGGGGGTGTTCAAGGCCAGGCTGGATGGGATGGTCTGATCTTGTTGGTGGCAGCCCTGCACACAGTACATTTAAGGTCTCTTCCAACCCAAACCATTCTGCGATTCTCTGATTCCATGAATATATTGCAAAATCTTCATGTCATGGAATCTTATCCATTCCACTTTCAGTCTATTTCCCATTCTCTTACTCAATCTCTCATGGAGGAACTGACAATCTCGCTTTAGCAAGTCAGCAATTTCCCATTCACTCACTCAATCTCTCATCAGGGAACTGATGACCTTGCTTTAGCAAGTCAGCAATCTATTTCACAGCCAGATCTGCTTCACTTAGCACAGCTGTTGCTTCTGCTCCTTGGCCTATGGCTTCCTGTGCTCAGCAGGTTGCATCTTTCTCTCTTCTCTCCTAAGCTGATCCTTTCCAGGGGTACAGTAGTAAAGTCTGTAAAGCAAGTGCACACACAGACATTGGACCAAATACCTTATCTGTAAAGACAGCAAGAAATACATAGGCAGGGAGTGTTTCTGTTCCAGGTAACCTTCTGTCAGGTATTGAATCTCTGATAACATGTGAAAGTAATTTTATCAAACGTTAGTGAACAAAATTCTCTGTAAGAGGAAATACTGTGCCTGACCTCCATCGGTACATCATAGTCCTGATCAGGAAATGAAAGGTAGCATATGGGGTAACCATCAGCAGAGGTCTTCTACTGAAGAGAGCTTTGTCTGGTCTAGAAGTAAGATGAACAGGAAATACCTATATATTAGAGTAGTAGCTTTCTCATACAGACATTCTGCTCAACTTGCATAGCCTCCCTTAACATTTCTGGTGGATACAGATAGTACACAAGTCAAAAACGTGACTTGCTTTCAGTGCCTGAGAACAGCAACAGCAGCAGGGCCAGACATGTCCATTGTTTGTCTATTGCTCTCTTCTAGCAGGTTTGCAGTGTGGCTAACATCATTCTCAGAGCAGCAGAGTCTGCTACATATTCACTAGAAGCTTCTGCTGGAAAAAATTGGTGGTCTAGTTGTGGATGCAGACAAAATCAGGGAC